ATGCTCAGTATCCCTTAGCTGTGCACAGACTCACTTCAGGGCTAGTGCATTTTTACCCATCTACCTTGTTTGTTCATCTGCCTGCCCCTGCTTTGAGAATTGTTCTTGGCATACCGATCAGGCTGGCCTTGGGAACTCCTCTGCCTCAGGAGCTGTGAAAAGCAAATATATCCGTCAGGAGGCAGAAAAAGTTATCACTGAGCTTTGTCCATCTAAAATAGGTCTTGGAAGCTGCTGCTGAAACTGCTGAATAACAAACTATCCCCAGTCCTGGGCAGGCTTTTTATAAATACTATAACAATTTTTTTTTCACTCAGTAAGCTAAATGTGTGCTTTTCTCAAATGGTTAATTTTTCACTTCCTTCTTCATTCGATAAAGTGTCTGGTTTTGGTAACAAGCCAAGCTAGACTCATCACCTTCTCAAATACAAATATTTAAAAGATTTGTTTTCTTTTGAGTTTCTTATCTGCATGCTGTTATTTGTGCATCGTGTGTACTGTGCCCAAGAGGCCAGAAGAGGGCACTGAATCTCCCAAAAGTGCAGCTTGCAGACAGTTGCAAACTGATTTAGATGCTGAGATTTGAACCACAGTCCTCTGGAACCAGAGCCAGCGTTCTTAACCACGGAGCCACCAGTCCCTCAAATATGATTTTATGATGGTTTTATGGCCTCAAAATATTCCTTTCCTTTGGTCTGGTAAACTTACTTTATTCTTGAAGATAAAGCGTAAATGTGCCTCTCAGGGAAAGGTTTCCATCTACATCATATCTGTAGCTCTTTCTTGTTCTACTTAATAAAAGTGACAGCCAAAGAAGAATCCTCAGACTAATTAAAAACAACAACAACAGAAGAAGAATGATCATTCTCAGAGAGCAGTTTTTCCAGGAACAGACACCTCCCCTCAGGCAGTGAACAAGATGACATTTGAGCCGGGTCTGGCTCTGTGACTTACATACCTGTGGAGGAGGTTCAGGGAATGACGAGGTTCAGGGAATGACGCCTGCCTTGGACATAAGTTCCTGACCCCGAGAGCCAGCAGCAGGTGGTGTGTAATGTTGATCAGCTCTCTGGAAAGTTCTGAGCCCGCAGCATAGAGTGACAATATGGCAGCTTTCTGCTTTAAGTAATAAGTTCCATAATGAAGGGCTCACACACACACACCCTATACTCTCTCTCATTGCCATACAAACAACGGATGATATTGAAGCCAGAACTGTTATCAACTGGTAGTTAGGACCATTTGTGTTTTGGTGTGAAACCTTTTAACCAAGATGGTAGAATCATACCATTGTTTCTATTTGAAATACTATGCAGGCTTCTCTTTTCATTAAAAAGCTTTTAACTTGTACCTTGTCATCATGTTAGGGACCTGTAGCTGTGTAGTTGTTGCTGCCCATGTTTCTGGACTGCTGAACCTTTATTCTCCTGAAGGTAGTCAATGCCTGCCTTCATTAAGTCTTCTCAGTGACCGCTCACTAATGTACGAGCCAAGGAAACCATAGTTTCTTCTACTTAGGCCCAAACTGGTTCTGGTATCACCTTGCAGACACAAGCCACCTTAGAACGGTGCCCTTCTAGCGCTTCAGTAACAAAGTTCCTGTGGCTAAGATCATAGTGGAAATGCCGTGGAGTGCGTCTCCCCAAGAGAAGATAGTCCATGCTTTGTCTTCAGCAGATGAATGAAAAAAAAAAAAAAAATGAGAGCATGATGCCCCAAGGTATGGATCGAGGAGATCTATTGTAGATCTGAGGGCAAGCATAGCCAGACGAACTGGCCTATGACAGCAAAGAATGGGAAGAGGAGAGAGCGAGAGGCCCGAGCAAGCCAGGGGACCAAGAGCAGCAAAGAGAACATGTAGCCAAAATGGCTAATTTTACAGGAAAGGGGGCGGGGGAGGGGGGCAAGCTCAGGAGCCGAGGGATTTGGGTAAGGGGCGGGCTCTGCCGGACCGCTATGACTGCAAGGGGGCTTGGGAGCAGGGGAAGACTGGCGGTTCTACTTAGACTCCATTCTGCACAGTGAGGCGCCCACTCCATGCAGAAGCTACTAGCTCATCTTAGAGACAGCCAGCCAAGTGCAGGGGACTTTTAAGGATGGCGTGCTGCCCACGCCTCACCTGTTGGCTTTTTTCTGTTGAGTTCTGTCAGTGCGAGCAGCTACTGCTTTACCTGAGCACATACTGTGATCTGCGGCTTCAGATCCCCGCTTCAGCTGGGTCACATTAACTGGTTACTACAGAAGCGCTGAGTCATCGTATCTCTACCAGCCCTCAAGGCGTGGTCTTTAAAACCGGTTAAACTGAGGATTGACGCTAGAGAGCAATGACTGCAAAACTTCTCTGTGGAAGGAGCAGGGTTTTTTGTTTTGTTTTGTTTTGTACCACTTGAAAATTATACCTCCAAAGGCTGATATTTGGGGAGTCTCGTTCCTTATTTTTGCGCTATTTACCCCACACCAGAACTTGCATCATTTACCGGGTAAATGATGTTTATGCCGTCCTCAAACCTAGACTTCTTAATTACTTTATCCCTGTCAGTGTGACCCTTAGCACAGCACACACAGCCCCTTAAACACTAATCTTGTTTACCCCTTTTAACTTACATGGGTTTGACATCTGCTTGGTTGAAAACTAACTGAAGGAGAAAATTCAGTATACTCATATGATACTGATAAGTGGATGTTAAAATTTTCCTGGTCCTGGAGATAGAGGTCAGCCTCGTGCCTAGTAGGTGTCCACTCTCTGCTGAGCCATCCCCCAGCTCTTAACCTTTTTAAAGCAAAGACACCAGTAAATACAGTTACAGTTTTCAATTAATGTCGCCTTATTTTGGTTTCTGTGCTTGAAACTTTGGGAAGCGGGTAGTGAAAAAATTCCTAAGTTTTCTGAAAGGAAGCTTTTTTTTTTTTTTTTTTTTTTTTTTAACCAGATATTTAATCCCAGCACTCAGGAGGTAGAGGCAGGAGGAATTCATGGCCAACTATGAGACACTGTCTTAAAAAAGAAAAAAAAATATTCATCACGGAAAGCCTTGTGTCTTTATGCAACATTATGCAACGTATACCTTAGTGGGGAAAGAAATAAAAAGATGGTCTTTGTTTTTGTCCTCTATTCACCTCCTGAACAGCCTCAAATACCTGATTTTATTGATTTTTGGATTCTGTCTTACTGACATAGGGGCTGATCTCATCGAGAGGTCCCGGAATCTAAAATTACCAGGACATAATTAGCGTGTCTTGTTTTGACAAAAGGGTCCCACGATTGCCTTTTAAAGGATTTTTAATCATTGAAGGAACTGCAGAAGTGGCTTACTAGTTAAGGGCAGTGGCTGCTCTTCCAAAGGAAGTATACAAAATGCTAACTTGTGCATATTGTTGCTGGTAGAATATATGAACCTTTTACATCTTTGCTGACCTTACAGATGAAATAATGTGCTTTCATATATTTAAAACTCACTCATTGGGAGGTGAGTGCTATGGGCAGACACGGGATTTCTTCTTAAAGCGATGGAGTGTTTGCCAGTCTTTTGTTTTTCGAGATAGGGTTTCACTATGTGGCCCTGGCCCCCGCCTCTGCCTCCCGAGTGCCACACTTATCAGTCTTTTGGCCACCAAATTGTGCTTAAGACATTTTTTATGTTGTTTGTATTATTTCTTAGTAAACATTAAAACGTATACTTTTCTAAAATCTAGCTTCCTTTGTTACTTTAAGCTTGACTTTGAAGATTGTCATTTTTTCCCCCATTGTCAGCTCTGTCTCCCTCTCCTGAACCACCATCCTGTTCTTTTAAAGAACCTCTAGGTGGATTTTTATAATTGAGTTTTTAACTCTCTTCATCTGGATTTTGTGTTTTTTAGAACACATTTAACATTTAGACTAAGTAATTTATTTTGGCATACATTATGAGAAAAACATGCAGATTTTCTCCAGTGTAAAACCCATTTGCCTTTACCTAGTTTTTGAAAGTTATCATCTGCTGTCTACTTTCCTATTTGGCTTTGTGTGGACGTCTTCACCTCACACCACCCAGCTGCTTTAATATAATACTTTAACTGTGAAAACTTGTCCAGCTTTCGTCATTCAAATTATTTCCCTCATCATTCCTTCTGTGTGACTTAGAGCGTTTTCTTTTCAGTTCATCTGTTGATATGTTGTGGTTACTGCATTAATTTATAGCTAGAGTCATAAGAAAACTGAAGATTTATTTGTTCACACACACACACACACACATCCTTTGTCTCAGGGCTGTTCGTGTCTTCAAAGCATTGGTAATAGTAACAGTGATCACAAGCTTGGTGGGATGGTACACACCTTTAATCCATCCCATCACGCAGGAGGCAGAGACAGGTTGATCTCTGAGTTCCAGGCCCGCCTGGTCTACAGAGCTCCTTTTATGACATTCAGAACTACATTGTGAGATGCTGTGTAGGGGGTGGTTGAGTTCTCATATTCCCTAATTTTTTTTTCTTCTCCCGAGACAGGCTCTCTCTGTGCGTTGGCTGTCCTGGAACTCACTCTGTAGACAGTTATAGCATTTGAACCTAGGGCCTTGCACATGTTGGGCAAATGCTCTACCACTAAGCCACACCTTCAGCTCCTGGGGTGCTTTGTGGGGGCAGGCATGGCAAGGCCTCACTCTGCAGCCAGGTTGGCTCACTTACTCTGTTCTCCAGGCCTATCTTTAAACTGAGAGTCTGCTATCTCCACCGCGCCCGCCTTAGAGAAAAATGTTCAGTGTCCAGTTAACTGTGTAACAGTTTTGTGCTTCTTAAAGGTGTGATGATGGATTCATCTGTGAATCTAAGTGGCATCCTTGCTTTTCAGAGAATAGTTCATTGTGATTTTCTTAACTCCATTCAGCCTATTTTCTCTTTTGGAACCAGTTTTGGTAGTTGATGTTTTTCTAAAAGTTACTTGTTTTTATTCAAGTTTTCAAATGTACTTGATGAGCATACTCTTAATCTTATCTAACTTTTGTCTTCTTTGTTCTTTTGTGCAGGAACAGGAAATACAGTTGTCATTATGATTAGCTATCCAAAAGGACGAGAAATTTTTGATCTGGTGCAAAAAGGAATTCCAGTAAAGATGACCATAGGGATTGGTACCCGCCATATGCAGGAATTCATCAGCGGTCAGTCTGTGGTGTTTGTGGCCATTGCCTTCATCACGATGATGATTATCTCGTTAGCATGGCTGATATTCTATTACATACAGCGTTTCCTATACACTGGCTCACAGTTTGGAAGTCAGGTAGTTATGGCTAACTATTCATTTTAATGCATTAATTCAGTTTGGTTCATTTTAAATGACAGCTCATGAATATATCCTCTATACTACTTGAAGTTACATGTAACCACACCAATTTCAGTTTACTTATTAAGCATTCATATGACTTTGATAGTTTTTCGATTGGAACGTATTTTTAAGTCTAGGGCACTGTTTGTAGATTTGTTTCCTGCAGGTGCCTGCCCCTTCTGCCTTTTTGTAGACAGAGGACTAGCAGAAGGTCGTGTGACTGAAAGAACATATGTAGCTCTGTTTTCTAGCTCGGTGTAAGGGTAGGAGTAAGGAGGAAGGGCCTGCTCTGCCTGCTCTGGAGTGATTGACAAACCGTTTACCTGAAGGCAAGCTCTTTCCTGAGCAGAGCAGAGCAGAGCAGAGCAGAGCCGGGCTGCAGTGGCGTAGGCAGACCTCTGCACAGGAGGCTTCCTGGCCTGATAACTAGGCGCACTCTTCTCTCGGGGACTACTGGTGGAGAGTGGGTGGTACCTGCTTCATTACTTTCTTGTCAGTGTTTAAGCGTAGGATTTGTTTTCTGGAAGTTTCTGGAAGTGTGGCTAAGTGGCATCACATGTTTAGAGTGTTAGGAGTTTCCAGTTCCATTCCCACATCACCCAGGAAAGGAGGCATGTTCTTCAGCTGTGGGATTAAAAGCGGCTCTTCCTGGGCTGGGGATATAGCCCTGGGATACAGGGCGCTTGTTTAGCACGTGTGAGGCCCTACACTTAATTGCAAATAAGCAAGTAAGTAAATAAATACATTCTTAGCTGGGTATGGTAGCTCATGCCTGTAATCCTGGTATTTGGAAAGCTGAGGCAGGAGGGTTGTTTGAAGCTCAAGGCCACTCAGGACTCCAAAGTAAAGCATTGCCTCCAAAAGGGAAAAATTAGTTCTTCTCAAGTAGCTTATAAGTTATATGGCTCTTTTATATATTAAAAGTTTTTTCTAAGTTATTTTCATAGTAACCGTTTAACTTTGTTTTACTAGTGAAAACTTTTCTATTTTGTTTACATTGTATTGTGTGTGTGTTATTTTAAAAAGACTAATAATAATGTTTTCTTTCCCAAGAATCATAGAAAAGAAACTAAAAAAGTTATTGGCCAGCTTCCACTACATACCGTAAAGCAAGGAGAGAAGGTAATGCTTTTCATTGTGATTTCCGGGGTTCAACGGGAGGATGTTTGTGTGTTTCAGAAGTACTTTCTTTCCAGTCTACTGTTGAGCAGTAACAAGCATGTGACACTTGGTTAAGCCTTTGTTTGTGTGTTTTAATATTTTAAAGAAAGGCTGACAGGAATATAACGAATGAAGAGGTTATTTATAGCAGTCATTAGTCACGTGGCTGTTTAAATATAGGTGAATTACAATTACAGCCCAGGCCTGTGGCTCAATAGTAGAGCCCATGCTTAGCAAGCTCAAAGTCCAGCACCTCACCGACCAAGAAAGGTTAAATGAATTAAATTTAGTTTAAAAGATAGCTCCTACATTGTATGTGTTTAGTGATAACAGTGTGCCAATATTTCTGTCATTGGAAGTCCAATGGGCCAAAGTACATGGCTGGAAAGATGCTACGCATTTCAGAGGTACGCACCTGGGTTACTCCACATTTATTCTACTGAATCAGAGCCTGAACATTCTCCCTCAGTTACAGAGAGAATACTGAACAGTTGTAGAGGAGAGAAGGGGTACTTTTAAAAGGGAACCATTTTGGATGTGCCCCGAAGATTTAAAACATGCAGGGAACAGTGCGGAGCCAGAGGCACCGACTCCTCAGGGACACACCCTTGGGAGGGAAATGTGCTAATGCAGTACATTTGGTCTTGCGGTGGCCGTCCTCAGCAGCGATGTGTTGCCTTGTAGCTGTGGGCTGAATGCGTTGCTTTGATATTACTCATCTCATCTCAGTAAACTTTGAGACTCAGTCGGTTGCACCTTCCAGTCCTCACTAACCTTCACGGAGGGGAGAGGAAGAAACTGCTTACTCCTTTCCTGTGCTCTATTTGATAGACCTGTGAGTTTTAGAAGTTGAAGTCTGTTATTAATGGCTTCTGTGGTATATTTAGGGTTGAGATGTGCTTGGGGTTGTGTGGGTGGTTCATTTCTTCCCTCAATAATGTCTGCACTGTAGTATAGTGCAGTTTTAATATTGGTGCAGAATACTGATTGCTTACCCCACAAACCACCAGGAGAGTTTCCAGTTAATAACTAGCCATGCAAAGTATGTATAGTTTCTCATGGATATTAATAGGAAATTATTCTGATGATTTATAAACTAGATGCTGAATTGGTTTCTAAAAATGAATTCTTATTCCTTTTTCAGGAAGGAAGTCAGTACTTTGTGCAAACTTAAAATTCTACTGTGCCTGTTGCATGTTTTTTTTTTTTTCCTTCCTTAGCAAAATTTCATTGCTTACATGTGAGAAGACCCATTCATATGTGTAACTTACTGAGCCAAGCCCTTGAGAATACAAGTAAATTGATAGTATTCTCATCCCATACCCATCATTTGCTAAAGTATGATACTAGGAGCTTGTTTTAAAATTGTCAAAATAATTTTTTTTAATGTCTCTAAATGGTCTATGAAGTATATACCTGGATTTGGAAGCATTTTTACATTGTAAACTTACATAGGAAAATGAATTTTTGCATTTTACATCTTATCCAGTTCTGGAGACAAGTGATAATTGTTTTAATTTTTCTTTTCTGTAGACTTATTTATAATAATGTAAAGCTTGTAAATTATTAAAGAATTTAAACTTTTTTTGCATAACACATGAAATATAAGTGAAAATATTCTGTTACAACATAGAATTTAAGTGGCCGGAGAGATGTCTGTGGTCAAGAGCGCTAACTCCTGTTGCAGAGGACCTGGCTTTGGTTCCCAGCACTTACATCCACTCATAACTGTCTGTAACTGCAGCTCCTGGGGATCCAGTGCTCCTGGACGCTGAGGCTTCACACACGTGTGTGTGTGTGTGTGTGTGTGTGTGTGTGTGTGTGTGTGTGTGATCAGTGCTCCTGGACGCTGAGGCTTCACACACGTGTGTGTGTGTGTGTGTGTGTGTGTGTGTGTGTGTGTGTGTGATCAGTGCTCCTGGACGCTGAGGCTTCACACACGTGTGTGTGTGTGTGTGTGTGTGTGTGTGTGTGTGTGTGTGTGATCAGTGCTCCTGGACGCTGAGGCTTCACACACGTGTGTGTGTGTGTGTGTGTGTGTGTGTGTGTGATCAGTGCTCCTGGACGCTGAGGCTTCACCACGCGTGTGTGTGTGTGTGTGTGTGTGTGTGTGTGTGTGTGTGTGATCAGTGCTCCTGGACGCTGAGGCTGTGTGTGTGTGTGTGTGTGTGTGTGTGTGTGTGTGTGTGTGTGTGAGATCAGTGCTCCTGGACGCTGAGGCTTCACACACGTGTGTGTGTGTGTGTGTGTGTGTGTGATCAGTGCTCCTGGACGCTGAGGCTTTGTGTGTGTACATGGTGTACATAAATTCATACAAGGATACTACACATGTATCTAATAAGAAAATCTTTTGTAAACTATCACAACATAGAATTTAAAATGCTGTTAAAGTTAATTTTAATGGTCTTTAATAATGATATGCACATACTAAGTCAGGTTTTTACAGCTTCCTTATTAATTGCTACACCTGGCTAAGGGTATGCTTAAATAATAACTCAAGGGTAGGTGGCTGTGTTTGATATTCTGAAGCTGCCAAACTGCAGCCTCAGAAGTACACTCTGATTGAGTTCCTAAATCCCTGTCTCAGAATCACAGTTTGTCCTGGCTACACTGACCCCTACTAACTAACTCACAGAAAAAGCCCAGGGCCTGTAGATTCTTCGGTGTACAAAGAATGTTGCCAACTCTCCCACCCTACAGCCTGCAATTTTTGTTTCTTACACTTTTGTTCATCTGTTAGGCAAAAACAGGCAACTTACTCTAATGGAGGAGGTTTAACACTAATGAAGTAAAATTTCAGATATGAAGCCATTTGTACTTTCTCTAAGTTCTAACTCTTTAACAAAGGTACAGATATCTTTTAAATAATTCCAGAAAGCAAACACGTTTGAATATTTAAGTTTTATGCTTGAAAATACTTTGTTTATCCATAATAGCAGGTATGGCTGGAATGCAGTTAACTTTCTAGAGTGTTTCCTGGCTTTGATGTAGCCCTGAGTGTGATCTCCAGCCCTGTGTAAACTCAGCCTTGTGGTTCACTACGATAATCCAAATTTTGGAAGATTGGTGGGGGGGGCATCAGAAAATGAAGGTCATGATTAGCTACACAGTGAACATGAGGCCAGCCTGAAAACTGAGACCTTATCTCAAAAACAAAGTGTGTGTGTGTGTGTGTGTGTGTGTGGTCTGCATTTCTACAGCCCTTAATAGTCTACGTTTCTTCAAACACTAATACACTATTTAAAACAAGGCTAATGCCTGATTAGGCAGACAGTGGCTTTTTTCCCCCCTTTGCATTCAGATTCAATAACTGATAAGAAAGTAAATGACAAATATGATTGTGTATTTGGGTCAGGTTGTTCCAGCATGGAGGGGAACCCATTGTTTTATTTTAGTCAGTGATTGTATATGTAATGTCTGTGTGTAACTATGACTTGTTTTCAGGGACTTGATGTTGATGCCGAAAACTGTGCAGTGTGTATCGAAAACTTTAAAGGAAAGGACGTTATCAGAATCCTGCCGTGCAAGTATGAACACGTTTTTTGCTACTAAGAGACTTAAAAATTACCAAACCAGGTTGAGTTTTCTGACAGAGAGTCCTATGCTTTTTCTAATAGGAAGAGCTTGTGATCTTTGATTATCCCATCTTTCATGTTGTCTTCAAGAGTCCTTAAAATTGCTCTGCTGGAGAAACTTGTAGATGGCCACTAACCATTGTGTCTTTGTTTTAGACTGGCATTCAGGCTTATCAAGGCTTGTTCACACTACATTGTAGACCTAGTTCAGCAGCGCACATGCTCAGTCAGAGGAATCAGCAGCAGTTTGCTAGTATTTATAACCCGGGTGATAGTTCCTTCTGAAGCTATGTAAAATGAATATTCTTCCCTTTACTTAGGTAGCACAAGTGTAGTTTTAACAGTGGGAAATAGTGATTTCACTTTTAATAGTCTGCTACTTTAATTGACTTTCTTAAAAGAACTGCTGATAAGCAGAAGAGTATGTATAAAAATTAGATTGTTTTTTAAAGTTTGATACATTTCTGTTGTACTTTACATATTTTAGAATCAAGTTACAAGTTAGGGTATTTGCTTGTTTTACAAAATATTTTACTTTGTATATGGTACTTTTTAATAGATTATGTTCTTGATACCCCGTTTTAAAAAAAAAAAAAAAAATGAGTATCAAAATAAAAGGGTTCCCTGGGAAAAGTGTCTGGCTGAAGTCTGTCGGCATTTACATAAGGTCAGCACAGTAGCTACTTAAGGTTGGTCATGCCCTGTAGAAAAGCCCTGAAAGTGGGGTTTTAGCCTGGTTTTAGAGCAGGACTTTCCCAAGTGTGCAGAGAGAGGCAGGAGGTGTGGCTGACGTCTGTGCCGAGCTTGTACTTGACCTCTGCAGATACGATATGGTGCGCACATTATTGGGATTTTATTTTGGTCATTTTTCTTCTGAGCAGTGCTAAACATCCCCCCAACCAAACTGAAAGTCTCTTTCTTGTTTTTTGAAAAATTCTTCAGATTCAGTCAGTATTAATTTGAGGTTGAATGATAGGCTGGACTAGACTGTTAGATAATTAAGAATTGCTATTTTTAATGGCACTGCAGTTGTTTTGTTTAAAGAAAAAAGTCTTCAAAAGAGTAATAATAGGGCAGTGATGGTGGACATCCTTAATCCTGACATTCAGGAGGCAGAGGCAGGAAGATCTCTGGGTGTTTGAGGTCAGCCTGGTCTACAAAGTGAGTTCAGGACAGCCAGGGCTACACAGAGGAACCATGTCTAAAAAGAAACAGAAACAATCCTGCGTATGTACCTGTCCAGCATGCTGTAGGCAGGGAGCCGTCCTGGGTTTGCACCTGTCCAGCATGCTGTAGGCAGGGAGCCGTCCTGGGTTTGCACCTGTCCAGCATGCTGTAGGCAGGGAGCCGTCCTGGGTTTGCACCTGTCCAGCATGCTGTAGGCAGGGAGCCGTCCTGGGTTTGCACCTGTCCAGCATGCTGTAGGCAGGGAGCAGCCCGTGATGTGGGAGCAGGGTTAGGGGGCTCAGCTGTACTAATGCTGTCTACTCATCTGTCTGGCTTCAAAGCCTCTAATTAACTTCACACATAACATGGGAGGAGCAGGGAACCAACAAGAAAGGAACATGTATGTGGAACATGTATGTGTCTCTCTGGTAGCAACAGACGTTTATTAAAGAGGAAATACTTCTTCCTGCCAGTAGCAGGTGTTGTCATGTATTTGATAGACTTGATGATATGACCAGTTTAGATTAGTTTATTATTGGTGGCTTGTTTGTGGGATTTACTAGCCTAAGTGGTCTGTAACTATTCTACTAAGGCACGTAAAAATGGTTGGGCATTATAGCACAGTACTGCATTCCTAGTATTTGGGAGGCAGAAGTATGAGGATTCTAAGTTCAAGGCAATCCTGGACTGTATGGCACATTCCAGGCTAGCTTCAGTGACATCGTAAGACTGTCTCTCATCTCACATAAAGAATGTATAACCGTGCTTGAAATGGATCCATCCTATTTTTGTGGCATGAAGAATAAAGAGAAACTTTCACTTTTTAAAAAACATTTCACTATTAAGTCCAGAATCTATCTAGCTGGAAACTAGAAAAAATAGGTAAGTGACTAGACTACAATGTTGTGGTACTGTTGGCTAACTTTTAACAGAGGGATGTGTTGGCAAAATGCTTTATTTTCTTTGTAAGATATGGAAACATTTATTTTAAGACATTAATACATACTTAATTTTTTTAGGCATATTTTTCATAGAATATGCATTGACCCATGGCTTTTGGATCACCGAACGTGTCCAATGTGTAAACTTGATGTCATCAAAGCCCTGGGATATTGGGTTTGTTACGCTTTCGTTTATATTCACTCTCTGCCCGGGTTCTTCCTGAGTATCTCACATTTATCAGTGACTAGAGGCAAGAGGGGCAGGCAGAGCGCTGCTCCCGATACCCTTGCTGTTGTCTAAAGATCTCTATAGTAAAAGTGAAGTGTAGAGTAGTCCACAAAATCAGCGAACTGAGTTTATGACAATAAAATATGCTAGCATGTTCCCCAGTTTGTAGCCACTTAAAGCAGTGTAGTTCTGCAGTGTGTGTGTGTGTGTGTGTGTGTGTGTGTGTGTGTGTGTGTGTAAAACCCTGACTCAGAATGTATGAAACAGAAGTGCATTCTGCGTTTTCTGGCTTCAGGAACACATTTTACACATACCACACCCAACAGTTTTTGTCATCTGCTTTTATTGTTGCTTGGTTTTACAGTTTATTAGTACAGGCTAAATTTGTCCTATATTAAATTTTGCCCATTATTTTGTTATATTTTGGTGGGCAAGGACCTTACTTAGGAGATAGAAGACCTGCCTGCTCCAGGTCATAAATACATTATTGCATTTAATCTTCACAGTCTCTCTTTGAAGCATCCTTGCTATCTCTATTAATTAGAAACAAGCCTAGAGCCACTGACCTTTCATATACGTTCTCGCAGCTAATTCAACTTTCAAACGTAAATTCTTTTTAAGTTTTGGAGGTTTTCATTTTGTTTCTGTTTTTTAGATCTCCATATGATCTATTATGACACAAAGTACTATTGATTAAATAATAAAGCATTATAAATAAAATCTCCATATGATCTATTATGACTCAAAATACTACTGATTAAGTAATACAGTATTATAAATAAAAATGTTCAAAGTGACTGGAAATAGAGCTCAGAGTGCTTGCACACTTGCATTGAAGCCCTGGATTCCGTTCCCCTCAGCACGTTAAACTGGATGAGCATTTTATGCAGCTTTAGTCTGTAATAGACATGCAAACTTCTCTAATGGCATCGCTCAGGAGCTGTCAGTGGGCAAGGCTGGCTTCCTGGCTGCAGCTGTGACGTCACGCTCTAGCGTGGCGTGTCTTCAGCTTGCTGCTGCCATGTCCTGCTCTACGGTGTCTCACGTGGTCAGGGTGCTCTTGCTGCAGCCGCTCAGGGAGAAGAGGTTGCCCCCAAGAATTGCTGGGTTTCACCCTGCTGTGTCCTAAAATCTGCAGAATACCTAAACGTCTTCAGTCTCGTTAGCCTGAGATAGCATGCCTCCCTAACGAGCTGGGTTCATTGGAAGTTGCAGTTCAGTAAGAAGCTGAGCCTCAATGGTTCAGAATCTTTTTCTTTCTTTCTTTTTTTTTTTTTTTTTTTTTTTTTTTAGATTATTTTTTATTATGTATGTACTGCTCTGCATGCTTGTCAGAAGAGGGCGCCAGTTCTCATTACAGCTGGTTGTGAGCCACCGTGTGGTTGCTGGGAATTGAACTCAGAACCTCTGGAAAAGCAGTCAGTGCTCTTAACCTCTGAGCCATCTCTGCAGCCCCATCAGAATCTTAATTGAGAAAACACAGGGTGTGATGAGTTGTCTTCTTGAAGAAGTCATTGACCTCCCTTCCTTGCCTTTACACAAAAGCTTGTGCTGAGTTGTTGTCTTGGTTGAGTGACTCACAACCAGCTTTGTGTCTCCTGACATTTTTGTGAGACTGATCTCTGTTCTTAGCTAAGCCAAGGGCTTGCACCCTCATGAATTTTGTTCAGAGAATATAAGTCGACATATACGCATGTATTAGAAATCAGTTTTCATTTTATATAAAGTTGAGTTATTTCTTTCCTTGGAGTGTTTACTTCAAGAACCTAGAACATAGAGGGCCAGAGTGTTTGACTTACTTTGTGAAGGACAGAAAGCTCTTGTAACTTCCAAGCCGTCTAATGTTTCGGTGTTTAGACCTGTCTGTCCCTTATGAGCACTGAGAGTCACCAGTGACCCTGCGCAGGCTTTAAAGGCAGTCCTTTGGTCTCCACTGTGTCCGCTGCACTCATTGGGCAAGCACTGATCAGAGAGAGGCGTTAAAGTGAGCTTGGCTCAGAGATGAATACAGTTAGCGCCTTTGCTAGGTAAAGACTCAGGGATTTCTCATTCGGGCCAAATGGGGCCGGTACATATCCAGAGAGAGAGCATAGCAGGGGAGCATGATCAGAAAAGAAAGGTCTTACACTGCCGTTAGGCACGGGTAGATGGAGCGAGTGTGTTTTAGTGGGACTGATGAGGGCTTCGAGTGTCACCTCCATGTGCGCAGGGGCATGAACTATCAGGGTGGAGGTTAGGGGCTTGGCAGGCATTGAGAGAAGCGGGGTTGGGACTGGGCTGAGTGAGAGTTGGCATTGTGACATTACAACAGGAATGTTTGTTCAGTGTGTTAGGAGTTGGTGTCAGGAGAGAACTGTTTGAGTGTCTGGGATGCCTAGTTACCAGTGAGGGGGGAAGTGGGGTGGGTTTGAAGCGCTCACAGACACTGAGTGCCTGTGACTCCCATGCTCACCGCCTGCCAGCCTTCAGTCACTCTCCGGCTGTTTCTTCTGCCCACGGGCAGCTAGCTTAGCCCTTTGATTAACCAAAAGAATGTCTGAAACGCCCGCCCACTGCTGTGGAGGCTTAATGTAGTGGTGGGAAAGGAGCCCCTGGCCCTCCTTTCATTAGCTTCCTTCAAAGCAGCCAATAGAAGAGGAGGGTTGGAGATAAGCACAGCTGAAAAACTATAAGGAAGGAGACGCCCGGGGCTGGCGTTTAAACAGAAATCTGAAGCCTTTAGCTGTTCAGAGCCTGTTTGTCTCTAACACCCCAGGGCCGTACTGTGCAATCCTGGGGCTGTCATTCGGGCACCTGGCTGCCTCCTGAGGGAGCACAAAGTTCACAGACTCTACAAGTTTCAAGAAAGAGCCACCTTGTGACTAAATAAATAGTTTATAAGGCAGGATGCAAATTGCATCGGACTGGGAAACTGTCTATTGAGAAGTAACCCTTAATGGTGACATTGGATAGAGGAGGTGGTATACTTCCCTCCAGACTCCCTGTAGAGAGTCAAGGATGTATTAGTTTACCAGGAAATGACCCCATACTTGCCTGTCACTGAGAACTCATTGCTTTTGTCTGCTCTCAAGGGGGACCCTGAGGATGCACAGGAGCTACCCACTCCAGAAGCTACCCCAGGAAGTGTTTCTATTGGGAATCTGAGTGTGACAGCCCAAGATGAGGGCAGGGGTGCTGAAAGCAGCCTCCCATCATCTTCTTCCAGTGAGTCTGGGCCAAACCGCCCCTGTTTTAAAGAAGACGCAGGGGAAGACACAGCATTGCTAGGTAGGTGGCTGCGGTTGTGAAACCATGATGTTCCGGTGGTGGCGTGAAATGGAAAAGGGAAAAATTAGATACATTAGATACACTCAGATACATTATAACCTTTTGATGGATACATTGTCAGGGTCATAGTTCTCAAAGGGATACATGTTTGGTAAACCGTTCTTGTAATGTGTGGTGCTCTTTCTGTATCATTGGTAGATCAACTTTTATGAACAATGTGTTTAAGTTTTTAAACTTTCTTCTGAATTGCGAGCACTGATGTGTGTCTGTCTGTGAGGCTGTAGCACTGAGCCTCCCGGACAAACAGCTCCAGCTGGGGACTAGGTATTCCAATTTATGAGCCTGAGCAGCTTCTCATTCAAAGCAGCAGAGCCTTTAGAAAAGAAGCTGCTTTTGTATTGCAGCGTGTCAGACCTGTGGCTTTCGGCGTGCCTGTAAAGGGCTGACATGAACTGTGTCCTTAGCCCTTTCCTAGATCTTTGTAAGATTTAATATTGGAAGTACAAGACCTTACTCATATTTTGTATCTTCTCCCTTGGTTTCTTTATTTCTTCTTAGTGTTAAGGATGGAACTCAGGGTTTTGGGAATACTAACCACAGACTCTGGCACTTGGCCGTCTTCCAGTGCCTAATTTCTGTGTCCTTGGGTTTATCATTGTCTCTCTTCTAGCATCTCCTTGGGCCTTGTATGGCATGCTAAATAGAAGAATCTTTTTCTTGGGTTGGTAATAGAATTATTGACCTGTATTTCGCTAATATTTATAGGTTTTTTTTTTTTAATTCTTTTTTGAAACAGTGTCTTATGTAGATGAAGCTATCCTCAAACTCCCTAGGTGGCTAAGGATGACCTTGAATTTGTGATTATCTGACCACACCTCCCAAGTGCTGAGATTATGGCATGCATTACCACCGTTTTTTTCATGGAGTGCTGGGATCAAACCCAGGGTTGTGTGTGTGCTAAGCAAGCACTCTGCCTACTGAGCCACACCTAATTTCTACTCCCTTTTAATTAATTAATTTGTCTTTTTATTGGCATGCATCATGCAAGTATAGAGGTCAGAGGATAGGTTTGAACAGTCAGTCCTTTCCTGCTGTGGGTCCCAGGGATCAAACTCAGATTGTCAGGCTGAGCAGCAAGCACCTCTGAACCATCTCATTGGCCCCCTCTTCTGCATTCTCTAAAGATTAATTATGAAATTATTTTGAGCCTGTTATGATAGTGGTGTGATATCTTTAATTCCAGCACTTGAGAGGCAGAGGCATATGGATCTTTGTGAGGGTGAGGCCAGCCTGATCTATATAGGGAGTTCCAGGCCAGCTATAACTAAATGGGACCCTGTCTCCAAAGAAAAGAGGAGGTATAGAGATGGCTCCATAGTTAAGAGCACTCAGGGCTGCTCTTCCAGAGGACATGAGATCCATTACCAGCAACCACATGATGACTCACAACCATCTGTAACTGAACTTCCAGTTTCTGGAAATTCCATACCCTCTTTGGCTTCTATGGGCACCAGACATGCATGTTGTATGTACATATATACATGTAGGCAAAATACCCATACACATAAAAATTTTTCAATTAAAAGAAAATCCCACCAATATTTTAGTAGAATTAAATTAATCTTTGGATTATTTTGAGAATAATTGGTGGTTCTAATATTGAATTTGGCCATCCTAAAAGGTTTCCAAAACAGTAAGATTCAAATTGAATCAGTGTGTCCTTTAACATGTTTAGGAAAACTTACAGAAATATTAGAACTTCAGTTTTTATTGTGCATGTTCATGTGTGTATGGGGGGGGGGTGGATGTCACAGGGTCATAAAGCTGGGACTTGGCCTCACCGATTCTCTGACACTAAACTGACCACATTACAAGCACTGTATTCAGCATAGTAAGGAATTTTGCTTTTAGGAATCCTGTTAAGACAAAGTTCGTCTACTGTGATTGGGCTACTGACTTCAGAGAACAGAAAGAAAACTAAATTTCTTTTCTAAGAACATGGAAAATGTGTGAACACAGAGGTCCTTTAAAGGCAGTTGCCATGTGAATGTTGGCTCGGGTCACACTGGAAAGCCTGTCTTTCACACCGAAGGAAAGGATATTTCTGTATTTCTTTTACTGGCATTCTTTGATATGGGTTGTCATTTTTACATGTAAGTTTTATTTAAATGTTTCTAATTCATTTCTTGGAGTGTTATCTCCAGAGCGTAGCTGAGGTTGCACAGACGCACTGACCGAGGGTGGCCTTTGATGCTTTGTTGCAGGGGCCGGCAGGAGTGACCCTCAGCGTGGAGGACCCATCTGCTAGCACCCTCCCTGACAGACACCGACAGCCTTGGCTTGAACTACAGGACATTTAATTTTTTACTCTAGGGAATAGTTTGTATACTTGAAAACAGTGGATATTATTTTACTTTACCTTTCAGATTCAGATTTGATATACAAAGGGCTGAGATATTTTATTCCTAAAAAGACTTAATTAGCCTTCATCTATTTATCTACTAAAGTATGATGTATATCATAAATTTTGTTGCGTCAGACTGTCACAGATGTGTGTGTGTGGGGTGTTTCTGAGTACTAGACTAGCTTCTGTGGTACTGTAAACCAAGATTCTGTTTCTCAGGCTTCTAGACAAAGCTCACTAAGTTATGTAGAATTGTGTAATATAATTCAGTAATTGATCAAATGGACTTTCCCTGAAGCAGAGACTCTTTAGAACTTATAAAATGAGAAATCTTGCCATAGGCAGTGTTGCACACCTGTAAACCCAGCACTCAGGAGGCTTCAGCAAGAGGATTTTGAGTTCAAGCCAAAAAGAAGGGATTGAGGGGAGAGAGAAATCAACTGTCTTGCACTATATTGTCCATAGAGACTTTAAAACCAAGCGTACCTTTCTGTTGTTTGGAATTGTGAAATGAACACTAGTCGACTTTATGATTTGCATTTTTACCTTTATTGCCAATTTCTTTTGACGTGTCGGAGAAGAAAACTGTGTTTTTCTACAAAAAATGACAAGAATGTCATATTGCACATTTAAAGTATTAAAATACTGTTTCGTTAAGAAAATCAAGTAGGCATCCTGTGATGTTTTTAAGTGTTTAGTATATTTCAGTGGAGCTAATCTCTACAAGTAAAAAGATTTAAATAAACATTTTGATTTTTGTGGTTAGACTAAAACAGCATTTTCCTAATGAGATTTTAAGACAGTTCACCCTGTAATCTTGTAACTGTCCTTCCTCTGCTTGATGTTCCCACAGGTAAAGCCTTTGAAGGTTGTCTGAGTTCATAGAGTGGTCAAATATACTTTTTAAAAGAATGGGAGTCCTTTGTTGATCTTAAACTTGTGTTGCATGTCTACTTTGTAGACAAAAATAAATGCTTGTTGATTAAAAAAAAAAATGTAACAAGTTTTATTTAGCAGTCAGTCCCAACATTCAACCCAAAGAGTTTACAGAGGATTAAAAAGTGTATTAATAAAAGCCAGTCTTTACCCAAAGACATGAAACATAATCCTGATTCGAAGTATTTTGCACTTCTTGATAAAGAGAGTGCTTTCTTGTGCTTGCTTGTTATTTTGTGTGTGTGGTTTTCCCTGTACCTGTGTGCCATCTGCATGCCTAGGTGGAAGAGGCCGGAAGGGGACATTGGATCTGAGGGAACTGGGGATACAGAAGGTTGTGAGCCATCTGGGTTCTCTAACCACTGAACCATCTCTCCAGCCCAAGGGAAGAATGCTTTAAGAAGTGTTTCCAGCTGACACCACAAGTCAGTAGAGGCCACTGATCCACAGTCCTTGCTTTTTGCATTAATGCCCTCAGCTGGGACTATTTACAGACAGGAGGCAAACATGAGTCAGCAACACATCCAGGTTATCACTCTCTACTTGAGGCTTCTGCCAGGTAAAAGACAAATATCTCCATAGCATTTCCTCTGCGTACAGATTTAGGAATAACTTCATCAATATCATTTTCAGATCTGTTTTCCATTTTCTCCAGAGTAAAACTTAATGCTTTAATCTTTATTCACAAGTTCTGTTTTGATCAACTTCAGCTACTTCTTATCTAAATGGGCGACCATTCTAGTTTCCAGTGATCTTTTGTGGTCTTTCTTTGTTTCAAGGCACTGAGCCCTACCTAGGTCATTGATAGTCCTATTTTCAGGTACAGTGGAGAGGATGCAGAAGAAATGGTAGGATGGAGAACACCGAAAAAGGCCCTTCTCTAAACACCAGAGGCATGGCCTGAATACGCTCCAAAAGTCTGGCTGTAGGTGTTTCAATTCATGTCTGTGTGGAAGGTAGGTCCATTTTGAAGCACATGCTCTCAGTTTCGGTAGTCACTGAACTAGTGGGCTCTACAAAATGGGATAGTGTATGTCAGCAACCATAGGTGTATTGGAATGTTATATAAACATACTGCTTCCATAATACATAGGAATTGTTCCAGTAAGGTTCATTAGTTCCCTGGAACTGACATCATTTAAAAAATGAGTCCAGTACAATTTTGAGATCTTTGTATAGAGGAATAACAGACAGTTTCACATACAAAAGTGTTAAATGTGGACACGTCTCCTACATCTGGCCCTGGGGCAGTGCTGTGACACCGCCATCTTCCCAGGCAGAGAGCATCAGCATCAAGGGCTGCCCCAGGTCAGCACCAAGAAAGTATAATTTCAAAGGCTTAAATTCATCCTTAGAGCTATATCTAAGATGTGAAAGTGTCTTAGCTATTTTTCTACAGTTTGATTCTAGCTACTCATAGTAAAATGTGAATTTTACTGAAAGAAATGTACAACCAGATAAATATGATGAGCTGTTGAAGTAGTAAATCTTTCTTATTAAGATCTCTGTCAAGTAGATTAGTGCTGTCTTCTGAGACATACCAGGGGAAATGCTGGCATCAGTCTTACAGCGAGTGAAGCTGGCTTTTAATCATTTAACCTCTACTGAAGAATGTTTTAAGGCAGGTCTCACTGATGGGAGATGTCATTCTGTAAATATGCTTCTCTTATTTGTTAATGAATAAAGCACTGTTGGCCAATAGGAAAGGAAGGAGGGACTAGGAGACGAGGAGGAAGAGGAAGTAGTGAGGAGTCAGCATGGAGAGACTGGAGAGGCCAGACGCCAGCCCCACTCTCCTGTAAGATGAGACCACGTGGCAATACTTAGATTAATAGAAACGGGTTAATACTTAAGGCAGAGCTAGCCGATAAGAAACAGGTAACTGGCCAACAGCTTTATAACTAATACAGAGTCTCTGTTAATCAGGGCTGGTGCCACGGTGGGTCCAGGCCGGCAGGGAAAACCTACTCATAACATCTCACTGTTTAATCCAAGTTTGGATTCGTGTCCCCTGCCTTCCCAGTGGTGAGGTGACAAGCGTGCGGGCCACTTCTGACCCGATGGTGTTTGGAAGATTGGAGGCAGCGGTTGAAGAAGCAGTGTCCATGTCCCAGAAGGTGGTTTGCTGTGCGGCTCCTGGCTTTTCACTCCGCAGTATGGATTGTGACCACGTGGTCTCCCTTAGCAGGTAATTCATTCCCACATGCCGAATGGACTGGGGTCTTAAACCTTTCTACCTGTGGCTGCTGAGGAATGATGACAATAAAAGGCCGAATTGCAGCGTCCCCATCAACAGTTTGCTCTCCATGTGGGCACGCGATGACAAAACCTCCTGAAGCGAATCACTGTCTGACCTCAGTATCAAACTCCAGGGCGGGAGGAAGCTTCCTGCCTGTGGTCGCCTTCTCGAGTGGGAGGGGCTGGGAGACGCCTTCCCATTCTAGAAAATAATCAGTCTTAGACTGACTGCCCTGACCAAGCAGAGTCAGTGTACCTTTAGAGACAGACACTCATCAGATCAAGGATTGCTGGAGTTGTAAAAGTCATAGTAGCCCTTCCAGAATAAGATGGCAGCAATTTCCTTGGGGCAAGTTGATATTATTTGCTCAAGGAAGGATGAGGTTTAATCGGTGCATATCTGTTATTAGCTGCACCTTGAGGGCATTGTTACAGGTCAGGAAAGCGTTGCTTTGCCGTTCCCTGAGCACTAGCGTTGGCTTGAAGCAGACAGCTTTGTGGTGTGATGTGATGAGCTCTTCTGATGCAACACTGCATTAGAGAAGCCGCCTATGCCATCTTTCCAGGTCAGTCAGAAACATTTGTGAGCATTTCATTCCCCAAATACCAGGGTTTTAATCCCTCATCAGAGTGCTGTCTGTAGCGCCCCCATTCGCCTCAGCGGAGTCTAGAACAGAATCACGAGTTGAAGTATCTGTGCCCATTCATAGAAAATGCGAGAAACAAATCCCCCTCCCCCTTTTTTTTCTGACAAACAGTAGGTTATATGCTGGGCTAATAAGTCTAAGAAAAGCAATATTTCTATGTAGTTAATGAATCTCAAGCTTGTGCCAGTACCTTCTGTAAATCTTGCACAGTAGTAGTTAGCAGAAAAAGCAGGATGACATTGCATGTACAGTCTCTCTTAGTAAGCAGTTGCTAAGGTCTGATGACTGTGTAAGAGCTTTTTCCTAATTACTAATTTCTCAAATAAAGAAATGACCTTGTTTAACAAAAGCCACTCAGAATATAGTGTAGTGTCACATGGATCATAGACTGAGACCCAGTTACTATAGAAATGTCACCTACAAAGATGCAGTGTGCAAATGAGAATGTGCACTGCACACTTAGTGACCTCAATTCTGTAAAATTGACTGAGTCAGTAATAAATGCCGTTAAAATTAAGTGGTTATATTTTGGGATTCCAAAATCTGTTTTTAAAAACAACTTCTTCTACTACTCTTAAAACGTTACTGATTAAATTTTTTTTTTTTTTTTTTTTTTTTTTTTTTTACAGGTGACTTGAAGATTTAAGTTGAACTTAAAAATGTCATGATGTTTAACCTACGTTAAATTAAACTCATCTAATTACACTTACAAGTAAGTGGTGGTTATTCAGGCTCACTCAAGACTATAGTCCTCCATACTTTCTTAGAGATGGTAACTTGATGCCCAAGCTGGCCGTAACTTTCTGGGTTCAAGCAATCCTGCTTCAGTAGACCCCGACAGCTGGGATTACAGGTGTGCGTCCAGTGTCAACATGCTAACCCTGAGCAACCTAGTGGAGCTACAGACTTGAACTGTGCGTCTGATGTCCACCACGCACAGCTCCTCTTCCCCGTGAATGTGGAGACTGCAGTCTTCACCTCTTCGCCGTAGGGCCCGTCTCTGAGAATTCTGTTGCGTGGACACTGGTTTCCCCTGTGCCCCAGCAGTGTGCTTTCTGAGGCACAGACATTGTTGACTTGTGTGTGCCTTCCTTTTCCTTTGTAGCTCTCCCTGCATGAGCCCCTTTCCAAGCGTGGGGGGGGGGGGGGCGTGACAACGACGCATTGCATTTGTCTTGGCAGCTAAGTTAAAGTGAACGTAGTGAATTGACCCCTGGTGTCAGCGTGACAAGGCTGTGACAGGGCTGTGACAGGCTTTCCGTAGTAAATAAGTTTCAGGAAACCGTCCTTGTCATCTACAAAGTTCACACTCAACCACAGAATCAGGTTTTAAAAACAAATGCACACATATGCTTTCCCTGAAATAATAATCTTAAGTTTTCAATTGTGTGTTGTGCTGTACCTATAGCTACCCTGGACTACAGGGTAGACAGGCTGGTCAGCTATAGAGCCATTTCCCACAGTGAGTCTGCACTTGCCATTCTAAAACAGTTTGGGCTGTGTGCTGTTCCTTGCCCAGTGTCATCTGCAAAATGGTGGTGGCCACTTTGGGACATTGAGAGAAGTCAGCTGGCTCAAGGCTCATTCCTCTAACCATAAGATAAGGAGAACATCACATATCTTCTAGACTTCTGAAGCTTGGCTTCCTTTAACTCTTGCCAAATGCTGGAGAACAGATTCTATCCCTGTA